TTTGCTTTACCCATTTTGTTCTAGTTATTTACCCTAGGCTCAAGTAAGGTTTGTTTTGATGTGGATCCATTCAGCAACTGCAATGTAATTTAGCATTAACTGATCTGCTCTCCCACATGACCCTCCTTGCTGGTTTGCCTGTTTGTTGTGCGCTCTCTTGTCTTTGGGTCACCTGGTGAGAATATTGCCTCCATACCAAAATTTTTGTGTTCAGACAGGTTCTCTTCCCTTTCACAATTCTGCCTTATGGTGAGTTCATGTACTCAGAGCCACTTATATGTTATGAAATCCATGCCTGGTTTTACCATGTGATTCTGGCTCTTAGAAATAAAGAGCATTCCATGAAGGGCAGTGCTAAGTTGCTAAGATGTAAAAATTAATCTAGAATAAACACAGAAGATATGCAGCATTGTTTCTGCATAGGAGAGGAGTTCTGACAGCACTGCAGTAATGCAAGGGGTAACAGCAGAATCTCTAGGAATGCTCTTTTTACAGCTGGACTGGACTTAGGCAAAGAGAGATCAGTGTTCATCTTCAACACTAAGTTCAGGACAGTTCAGGATGGAGGACCTAAGCAGCTCTAAAAGGCAAGGACTTTCCGTGATTTCAGAGATCCTTCTGGCATGTTAAGTGTCTGAGTCAACGTCAGGTGGTAGAGAAACCCTTCACAGCCCAAGCTGGAAGACAGTTTGAAAGTACTGCAAAGGCAAGCACTGTGAACTTGGTAGTATGAGCTATATTATGTTAAGCTGTTATGGACAAAGATTTGAATGATTCATTCCTGGCAACCCGTATCAAGCCTCTCGCTGTTTATTCTTATTGTACCTCCTCTAATGCACCCACAAATAAGTTCTTTCAACACTTAAAATAACACTTGTGGCGAAGACTTCAAGCTACTTCATTCCCCATTCTTTGTCATGCTCGTGATGGCATCTTATCGCCATCACATTTGCAAGTGTGTTTGTTATACTAGCAGATGTACAAAGGGAGAAAAAACAAACAGTGGTTCAGTTTGATCAGTGTGCTTCGTTTTCTAAGGACCCTTTTCTTTCAACGTCATGGAAGTCGTCAAAATTAGGCTTCAGAGATGCTTTAAATGTCAAAAGTATTCTTAGCTATTGTAATAAATCTGTCATTGCGATTATTTGCATTGGGTTTGACCATGTTGCTGAACAATGTGATTTTTAAAAAGTATATGGTGATGCTTTGCTTCAAGCCCTCCACTTCAAAAGTATCTAAGACAAAGGTATAGTGCTGTGTTTTGACATTGACATTGCCTGGCAGTACATCTTCTTAGGGCAGCTGAGTAAGGTGGAGGTTGCCCTTTCATTTCTGCAGAAAGAGTATGTAATGGGCAGTGGTAAGCATTTTCGTAATAAGTAAGAGTACTGTGGATCTTCCACATTTGGATTTTGAACAAGTTTCTTCTTTATCTCCTATCCAAATATACGTTTGTATTGGTGTTCTGTACTATAGCAATAGCTTGTACACTTGGCACACAGACTTGTTACTGGACAGACCCCCTTTAGTCCCGTAACCAGTGCACCCTGGCAATTATTTAGCTGCCACTTACCCAAGCCCTTTTTTCCTTAATACGTTAGTTGATGTTGGTACAAGTGCTATATAGGAAAGAGATGCAAAGCTGGAAACATCTTTCCATCTCCAAAGATAATTGAGACTAAAGAGAGAACGTGTTAATAGCACTCAAAAAAAAAAAAAAAAAAAGAAAAGAACTAAATTGCTGCTGAACATTCATTTGATGTTATTTTGGGGAGGGAAAAACCTACTTCATAAGGAATACCTAGTTACTTGTCACCAGCCAGATTAGCAGTTATTTCTCAAGATTAGCACTTAATTTAAAAGAAAGCATATTTTAAAAAATTGCTTCAGAGGAGAGACAGAGGGAACGAGCAATCGCCAATCATTGTTGAAGTGATTCTGCCAGCCGTGAGAGATATGCTCTGCAGTAGGTAGCAAGTCTCACCAAGCACACAGTAAGGCTTTGGAGCAGAAGAGTAGCCTCAGTAGGATTCCTAAGACAACTACATCTGCATGAGCTTTGAGAGGAATGATGATCTTCATGCATGACCTAACATCATAATCATCTTTGGAACCTTAAGTTTTCTCTTCCTTGCTGTGTTCTTTTTGTAAGCAAGCGGTATGTATTAGTTTGCCCCATGACTTAGATGTGTTCAGTAGCTCATTGATTTCTGGTGAATCTTGATTGTGGTTGCACCCAGCAACTGAGCAGTTGAAGACAGGAGCCTGTGTTAACAGCAGTATTAGGACTGCAGAATTCAGGAGGAAGGAAGTGGATTTTCATGACGGTCATCACTTGAAGGAAGCACTTAGGAGGAACTGCAAGGATTAGCTTCCCCTGATACCAGACCGCATGGTGGGAGCAAGGAGGGGATGTAGCCCTCTGCCAGGTTCAGGTGGGGTGAGCTGCTTCATAGCGTGAGTGGAGAGCTAGCACTTAGGAGAAGTATTCACAGAGAAAATGGTAGGAGAAATCCTGGCAATAGCTGCTATTGTTATCCTGGTTCTCTGAATCGTTCCTAGACTCACTGCTGAAACTTCTTGGCAGTCTTCCATGGCAGCTGGTTCTTTGCAGGAGCTGTGCTATCTAGGACAGTGAATTAAATCAGTAGCAGTCTTGCACATTGGAAGATGGTCCATGAAGTGGCTGTAAAGAACAGACATGCAAACACCTATTTATGGGCTGGTGTGCATCAGCATCAGTGGGGCAGCGCAGTCCGTAGCCACCCTTGACTCCCTTCCGTGACCAAACTGGCTGAGGGTTGCGGTTACTTTGTTTACATAGGTAGCCGGCACTGTAGTTTTTCAGCACCACCTTTCTACACTGTCAAGAACTGAAAGAGTAGCAGGGACAAGATCATCATTCAGGGATTTTTTTCCCCACAAAAGATTATGTGGCTCTTCACTTTAAGAAGCTTAGGGAAGCTGATAGGATATGTAGAGTGCTGGCTGTCAAATGTAATGCTGGGTGCGAGCAACTTGGGACACGAGAGTTAAGTTGGAGAGCACTGTCCCTGAACAGTTTGCCTCTGTCATTGGTAACGTGCACGTTTACTCTGCACTCAGAAAAATTCTGGAGAAAGTTTGAAAAATTTTGACTTGCGAATTATAGAGCTTTTTAAATGGAATTGGAAATTCCATTTAGAAATTATTTGGAAATAAGTGGCACTAAGGAAGTACCTGCTCCAACTATTAGGCACAATTTCTATTGCTTTATTACAGCTTCTAGCATGGTATATTTAGGTATGCACTGATTTTTGTTGATGCTTGTACATTTTTAGGCTATAGATGGATAGTTTTATTTTATACTAGTGTAGGTGCTCACAATTTCAGATACAATAGGGAAGCCAACACCTAATGGCTGATGTCTTAGGTGTCCCCTTGCAACTCTTTGAAGCCATACAATAACTCATCGAATAGACAGAAGGTGCTTGAAACTTGTCACAATGAGTGGTAACTACACTGAAACATGTATTTTAATGTTCTTTAGGGGGAAAGTACTTTGTAAATAGGCTTCATCCTTGAATAACTGTCCCTTTGCAAATGAACAGTTATTTGAGTACTCTAATTAACTTTATTTGTTAGTCTTATTAGATATTTTGAAGAACTTTTAAGACTAATACAGCTACTGCAGAAATTGAGTTAGTTGTCTTTTAAAATAGTATCTTTTTGAAATAATACTCACCCTGAGGTTATATTTAGCAGGTGAACTGGGAAAACTTCATTCTTCCCCAAATTTCACTTTCTTATGGTGATAACATTTCTCATAATTTTCAGTTCATTTTGAGTTCTTGTACAATGATAAAGAACCTCTTGGCACATAGTGCTTAGGTATACCTGTTAATGTAATAAGGTACATTATAGTCTCATGTGAAAACGAGCTCGTGTTGCTTCGTTTCTGTCTTGTATACTCACAACACTGTGTCAAATGTAGTTCACAAACGAACAGAGGAGGTTATGGTAAGGAACTTGGGAAACCTGTGCTCCGTTTCTGATTCTGCTGCTGATGCAGGCCAAGGGAGTTACTTTTTTTAAACTGAAACTGGGATTTGACTTCCAAGGAAAATTGCAAGTTTTCACCAGCAACGACAAATTCTATTCTAAATATGATCAAAAAGCCTAATACTTACAGACTTTTCAGAGCATTTCAGAAACAGCAATCATTCCTATAGCTGGGATTGCTGTCTGCCTGTTTCCCAAGCTTAATTGCTCTTAAAACTCTGGGTGCTCACCTTTGGACTGTATAGCAGGTTGGCACCTGGGCTGCCCAGTTATTGAGAAGCCGAGGAACAGGCAATGAGTTTGTTTTTCTTTTTAAAAAAGAAAATTGAAACTTTTGTGAGGGATGTTTTGGTTTTAGTTTGAATTGTTTACATTTCAATTTCCCGTTTTAAAAAATACAGAAAATTTTTTACCACCTTTGCTGATCAGCTTTCATAAATCCGACTCGTCACCTTCCAGAACAGTTTTTATTCTTTTTGTGTTTGTCAGTGTTAGGGGGAAGAGATAGCTAAGGTTTTTACTGTTTTTTGTCGTTGGATTCCCCCACCCCCCCCGTATCATGTTAGTTAGCAAGCCTAGCACTGGCAAGGCAGCCTGTCTGCTTTATCTCATATATATATTGAGAGAGTCGAAGCTTATGTCTAAAATGTGGTTTCTTATATGTACCAGCATGTTGACTGTATTGTGTTCTTTTCTATAAAGCACTTTTTCTCTGGCTTGTTTTGGGATTCTTGTGTGCCACTGTGAACTTAGGGAGACCAGAACAAGATCAGACTTGAAGTTGTTCATCTTTTTTTGCCACTTCCATCTACATATGAATTTTCATCATATAATTATATAGTTTATATATTATTCCATTTTGTTAAAAGGGTAATAGGATATAAAATAGTGTGAATTGGTATCTGTTGTAATAGGATGTTCTTTTCTTGTTTTCATTACGTATGTATCATACATTTTAGGTATGGGAAAATTGTATCCACAAAGGCTATTTTGGATAAGACAACAAACAAATGCAAAGGTATGTATATTTGCCTTTATATTACATTCACTTGAAAGTCATGATTGATTCTATAAAATGCATTAATGTTATATTTTAAGTGCTTTTAATCTTTTTTACCATTCTTATTCCTAAACTAGTCTTATTCTTGCCCATGGTTGATGGGTTCAATACATGTGTATCCAGTGAAGCTGGCAGACTGCCTATGTCAGGGGTGCAGCCAAGCCAGAGTGAAGCTGACACGCACAGTACTGGTTGGCAGTTTGCCTCTGTTTTAAAAACAAAAATGAAGTTAAAAGCAGCTTTTCACCTTTTGCCTGGAGAAACTAGGGAAGCTTACAGAAAAGCATTCAATTGTACTAAGCATCTGAAAAAATTATATATTGTGGAAATCAGCTCAATTTATTAGAGTAGTTTAAAGCAGCACTTAATTACATGTTCCAATATTCTAATTGTATTTTGTTATATGCTACTGAATGTATTGGGAGCAAAGAGAGGGTTTGTTTTCACCAGCGTAAATGCAGCTGGAAAAAAATTAGAGCTCCTTTAGGTAAGCTGGATGCATCAGTTCACAAATTTTCATCACTTGTAATTGCCGTGAGGTCATATCCCAGCGACGTGCATGGTGGCAGAAGGTGTGGTAGCAGACACTGAAATAACAGATTTCAGACTTTTTACAATTAAGAGGATAATTTCTAAGCAAAGTGTATATGTTGTGACTAGGAAAGAGGAGATGTCCTTTTCAATGATTTTAATTCATTAATACCTATGAAAGCACTTAACTGATTTAGTCTGTCCATTCCCCCAATTCCCGAAGACTTCAGTAGCTCTGTCAGTGATACAGAAATTCTCACATTAATGTTTTAAGAGATTTAAGCTGACTTTTCCAATACAGATTTTAAATCTCACTGGTGAAAAGCTGTAACTTAACAGTCTGTTGTAACAATATGCAGCAAGTTAAGGCTGCAGGGAAGCTCACTGCATGTCGCTGAAATTGCAGAAGGAATGTAAGTAGGCAGAATGCAGATACCTAACTGGAATTCAACCAAAAGATTGACAGCATCTCTGGCTCTTGCCAAAAAAACATACCATGGGATTTAAACTAACTGGAACAATGAGCAATTGAGTTTATATGTCATCTAGAAGATGGCAAAGCCAGCTTTGATGATATGCTTGGTATCAGTATGTAACTTCATCTATATTGCACCCTGTGGTGCGGTGGTGTTGATAACCTAGGCTGTCATGGGTATGGAAAGCTAGTTTTGGGTATGGAAAGCTAGTTTTGCCTTGGCAGCACAAAACTTGATATGAGCTAATTCACTCTGTTTCATGTCAAGATTTAACAGTCCACAACACCACATGTTACACAGAACAATATGTTGCTTTCTTCAGCTTCTTGGCAGGTTAAATAAGCTTGCACTGATGTACAAGGCTGCTCAAGTTGTTTTTCCCGAGTTGAAGACTTTAAAGCTGGTTCAGTTATATCTTTACACAATCTTTTTGTTCTCAGTATAGACATGTTGTAAGAGAATACTGTTACCTTCTGAAGAAATAGTTCCATTTTCTACTCCTCTAGAGGGTTTTTTTTTAGTTGTTGGGGTTTTTGTTTGTTTTCTTTTAACCCAACTTAGACATTGGAGAGGGATTTCTTTAATATATGAGGCAGTTTGCTGGTGGGAAGGAAGGGGGTTGAAAAATATAGAAATGAGATTTGCAATAACATCTAGGGCAAGTAGCTTCCAAACTCTGACTGCCTTTTGGTGAGACTTGAGCATCCAGCTCCCAGGTTGCATGAAAAATTCCAGCCTGTAAGGTCGGTGTCTGTAAAGGCCATGGTGTATTGCTGTTCAGATGTCGTAGAATCCATTAGCTGTATGTTGTTCAGAATAAGAAAAGAAGTTATTGCAAATACATGGAAATTGTTACAATTAACTTTGCGTTTATGTTAACATTTAAAGATTGCATTATATAGCATAGAAAATGCTTTCAGGACAATTTTTTACTCATTTCAGTAACAACAATGGGAAAAGCTCGTTTGATTTCACTGAAGCTCGATTTTCACTCGCTTTTAAAACTTAACTGTCTTTTATGTGTATACGATGAAGCAACTAATTCACCAAAAATTGGATTGTGATGCAGTAAATATACATCTCTTAAACTAATTTCTCCCAATTTTGAGAGTCAGTGATGTGTAATTTAGAGGCTTATTCGTCACTTATTCAAACTGGACTAAGAATTTAGAAAAATTGACTGATTATGCTTTACTCGGTGGTCTCTACGAAATAAGCTGATGATGTTACATTTGATCTTAGATAATACGTACCAGATAACACAAATATTACTTGTTAGCAGTTTGGACAAAATCCTGGTAATGAGTGGGCATGGAAATTGATTTGTTCCACTAGGGTAGGTCCCCACCAGTTTCAAGGCTGAAGGACTTTGGTAGATCGGTTTTTTGGGACTACGTGAAGAACTTGGGAGTTCAAATTGGCCCACTTCACCAAGAAAAAAATAGTGTTAAATAACTATGCTAGTAGCATATGAACTGTTTGATTATAAGCTGCTTGCTGTCTCTTTAATGAAATATGGTTTATATTTCAGGTTACGGTTTTGTTGATTTTGACAGCCCGGCAGCTGCTCAGAAGGCGGTTTCTGCTTTAAAGGCTAGTGGAGTCCAAGCACAGATGGCAAAGGTGAGTTAAAATAACGGGCTAATTCTTGCCATTGGCTGTGAAGATGCCCAAGCTTGTACGTCAGCAGAGCATCGGCAATGTGAATTTTCAAGTTGCGGGCCCTTTATGGAGGGCACGGCCCTCAAGGTGCGTGATGTATTTGGTTAATAAAATGGGGACTTTCCACTGATGTGTGCCAAATCATCTCAACTAGTGAAATAAAGAAACACGGTATGGTAAAACCTCCAAACAGATCTGGTTGGATTTACCAATTTATTCATGATACTATTTTTGCATTGGCTTAATCAAAAGAAAGATTAGCAATAAATTGTAAGAACTACAGCAGGCTTAATGGTTTAAATACAACATATTAATTCTTGAAACAAGGCAATAGCTGAAGTAGTTTACAGCACAAAGGTATGAAAGGTTTTATACATTGCCTGCTTGTTGTCAGCAGCCTTGCAACTTGGGGATGAATTTTTAAGCACAGCATGGCAGAACTTAACCTTGTGACTTTGTCTTCAGACTTTATAGTGTATTTTCTGTCAACGTAAGTAAAAAAATCTGGGCATTCGTGACAGATGTCTTGAAATTCCTAGCCAACTCTCTGACAACCTATTTCTGCATCAGGGCATACCCAAACATTATTAAAAATAAAGACATACGATCTTTCTTGTTTTTCTCTCATTTTTACTGATCCTTGCCCCTGAGTCAGGTTATTAGCCAAAAGTGATCTTCAGAGCAGTGCTCTTTCAGCATCAGATAAGTTTCTCGAATGTATGACATCAGGGAGATGATACATTAGTAATGATTTTGTCGTGCGTTCTTGTTAGGTCAAATGGCCTGGTTCCAACAGAGTGCCATAAACACCACTACAAATTTATTTATTAAATAAAGAAAATATTACCAACATAATCTGTTCATATAATTTGTGGTACCTCTTAAAGCAATTTTTTTTAGTTTGAAAATGATATTCTAATTTAAAAAAATAATAAACCAGTAATTAACTAGTAATCTCAGAGGCTTTTTTTAATAAAGTAGTCTGCCACAGATCTAGCAAATCTTTTGTAGTTATCCATTAGGTACAGATTTTTTTCGGATGAGATATTTTCCACAGCTTCTCAGCTGAAGAGAACAGTTAAGCTAACAACATAAAATGTCTTTGGATGGACTCCAGGGCAACAAAATGGAAACCATATGTTTCATACTTAATGCATGTTTCATTACAGCCATGACACAAACGTACATGCTTACTGGAGAACACTTGGTTTTCGGGGGGGTTTGTTTTTTTTTTTGTTTTGTTTTTTTTTTAATAAGATTTTATGTGTGTTTAATATAGACTTTTAATTGTTAGTTTTCAGGTGATCACTTTAAAATATTAGCAAATCAGAATCCTCACCTGGAAGACACTATAAAAGTTTACTTGCGTTTGTGTACTCAGTATTTTATCCTTTTGCATGTTACCACCTGTGCCATGAAGTGGCCTTCTTGCAGTGAAACTGTTCAGGCTTTAGTCTGAATGTCACAGAAAGATTTGGAGGACAGTTTTCCGGCTGTCTGGCCAAAGGATTTCCTTACTGACCATTACAACTGTTTCAGTTTCAAAGAGAAATAAATGCCTGTTGGTGGGATTTGTCCGTGGGAAAGTGTTGTTACTGCGCTGTGCCCAGGGTGTCAGCCAGCAGCATGGGTCCTCAGAATTCTCAAGCTCCTCCCAAACGCAGTGGTAGTCCTTGACCCGCAGGAGCTGAAGGGGAAGGAAAATGTTATTGCTGAAGCCTTGTTCTGACTCTGGCTGCTGTAGTGTGGTGTCCTGCTGTAGCTATATGTTGGTGAGTTAAAAATTAGATCAGCCAGTTGATCTACAAATCCTAGTTTAGTAGAAGTGGTTCAGATCATACGTATTAAAACCTTTGTTTGTTTTTTTGGAGGTAACTTCAAATGTTTGACTTTGTGAGCTTTTCCTATCCATAGGGTAAGACCATGCCGTACTTAGTGGTCTGCTTCCAAGTTGATCTTACTCCAGAAAAATCTAGTCTCACCCACTGTGTTTTGGCTATTGCTGAGCAGACCGGGAGGGCGTGAGGCCCAAGACATGGCTTCAGGCCAAATCCTCCCAAATCTGTTCCAGGGGGGTCATTGTTGGTGGAGAAGTGGCCGCCTCTTAGGAGATGTCACAAAAGCGTCAGCAAGGAAACCCAGTGTCACACCATCACTCAAGAAACATTATGCCTTCAATTATTCTGCTCTTTTGAATTGGGAGCGCTTAACTAAAACGAAACAAGTTGGGAAGTGTTTTGCTCTGTGCTGGTTAACAGTATCTTCCAGTCACCACTGAAACAGAAATGCCTCCAGTGATTCCTGTTGGTCAGGTAATGGTGCTGATGAGACTGCATTGGCAAGGGGTGGGAGTAGCTTTTGGACATAATTTTAAAATGGAGGTAATGGGCTATTGCCCCTTTCCTCTCTTCCATTTGAGTATTATCAGTGTTCAGTCTTGTCAGGAGTCTTTTTCAGGGTGTACAAGTGTCTGTGGAAAGGGATCAGGAGATGATGTGAGCTCTACTGGTAGCCAGCTTGTTTCAGGACCTAGTACAAACCCAATAGCTTATCTCTTACTCTAGAAATAAGGTACGGAAAGAGCAGATACCTGTCTTGCAAGAGTACTGTTATATATAAGCTAGTTAGTAACTGGTGAGTGTCTAGTTTTTATTTTCATTCATTTTAATTTCTTGGAATGTCTTTAATGGTAATTATTTTATTGTCCTTGCTCCTAGAGGACTGCTTCAATAATAAACCAATAATAAGTGGTTCAAAAGCTCTGATTTTGCAGCGCTGTGCGTTCTTGCGTAAGATTAGTAGTAGTATTGAAAAGCTCTGCCCATTTTCTTCATTCGAAAAATTATAGTTGCTGTCAGAGTGAATTTTCTGAGAAATGTCTCTTCTCTTTCCCCCCCACCCCACAGGTAAAATTGGTGAGATAACTGTAGGTTTCTACACTGTTCAGAGCAGATAGCAAATGACTTTGTATAGGAAGATAGATGTACACAGAAAATCTACTGTATATTGGCATTTTAAATGGAGATTTAAAAAACCGAGAATCTGTAAGGGATGATTTAGAGATGGTGAGGTCTAAATGCTATGGAGATATGAGTCACCTAAATTCTCATAGGTTTTTGGCCTTGAACATAGCACAAGGCGTTCGAGTCGGTGCTCAAAGTTTTGTCTCATCAAATGGTGTTCAACTGAGTTCAACTGTAGTCACTGAAGCAACTGTGTTTCAGATGATTGGAAAAGTGGCCCTTTTAAATGGAAACTGGAATTTAATTTGTATTCTTCTGGATGTAAATTAATGTGTAAATATAAAAGATAAAAAAAGAACTTCTGAATAAGAACCATTAATTAAAAGTACAGTTCTCATCTTTCTATCTAGCAGACTTAAGCCAGGAGGAGAACGATTGTATTTGCAGCCCAGATAAAGTCAACTAGAGAATATCTATATTGTACTGACAGCAATGTAGAGATACACAAGGTAGCTAGAATAACAGCCTGGCTGTGGCAGCTTAGAGTTCATCGAGTGCTAAACAACTTCCTTCCTGGTGTGGCAGTGACATTTGTATAGCCATATTGTCTAGCTCATGGTAGGTTAACAGATCTCTGAGATAATATAGTGAAAGGCTTATATCTACTAAAAATGTTCCACATATGGAGTTACCACTTTTTGCAAAGAGCTTGTAATGTACTTTGGGCATCACAAGAAGGATTAACATACATTCCAGTGTTCTCACAATTGTATTTCAGCCCTGTCCTTAAAATTAGCGTAGGGTCCTCCCTTTAAAATGGTTTAATCATCCAAGTCCAACACTTGCTGTAGACTCAATGAGCCTGATCCTCCAGGCTTTATGTCGTTGAAGACCCTGCCTTCCTTCTATTCTCTCTCTCTCTCTGTGTTCATAAGATTTTTGGTTCCTCCATATGCACAACGTTGCTATAAGATTGTCAAGACTATTTATAACTTAAACAAGTGATGTTCATTCTTTTCCAGTTTGTGTTTTCCTAATTGTTTTTTTCTACAGAAACACAAACTTACCTTTAGTAAATGTATGCCATTTATAATAGAATCCATGAAAGTAGTCCATGGACATGGAAGATTTCTGTGGTCAATGAAACTCATTAATTTGAGCCAAGGAATGCTATTCCATATACTAATGTGCATTTTTGGGGGAAGACTCATTGTTTATCCTTTCAAAGATTTCCCCACAGTTGCACATTTTTAGGACTTAGGGCTTCAGATTCATAATGTTATAATTTCCTCCTTAAAATCTTCACTTCCACTGACACAATTAAATATGCTCCTGCTTATAGTGCATTAGCTCTCACATTAACAAATCACTAAATATTTTCAGATATTTTAGGCTTCTGCAAAAAATTAGGGACGTCATCAGAATTGTTTCTTATTCAAATTGTGTCAGAAGGATGCCTGTGATAACGATGCAAAGTATATTGTACCATCATATACTGACGCTTCCACCATTCTTAAGACACAATTTCTGTTTCCTGGAGCAGTCCATTGGCCCTCAAAGCAAAGACCAAACTCCCTGAAACTCATTACGTGGGGGTGGTTTTTAGTTTGTGTTAAATATTAGCCCATTGTCTGAGTTCACACTGATCCTTCAGAACCCAGAGATGATGTGAATTTGTAATCTTTATTTTTTACTAATGGCTACAAAGGCAGAACTGTGAAGCACTCCCCATGTGCTGGTAGATTTATCTTTCTTTCCAATTAAGTTCAGTGCAGCAGCATATTTTTTTTATAGGCTTAACTTACTTTAGGTGACTTTTTTCCTAAGCATATTTGGAAAAGATGAACTGTCACACTATATAAAGTGCGAACTGCACAGCAGGTATGGGGGTTTGCAGTACGAAAGGCTGTTTAGCCACTAGTCCTTATCTCTGTAACAGAAATCAAGGCTTTTCCACAGCTATTAAGCATAATGTATTAAAGGCAGCTTTCCTTCATG